GCACTCCTGGGAACCTTGCTGAGATTGCTGGCTCCTCATAGACGGGCAGGTTATCTTGAGGTTATCTTGAGATGATTTCGGGGTTTTTTAGTGTCCCCGCGGCCCGGTCCTCGACCAGGCCTCCACCCCCAGGAAGCAGCCCGTGACAGCTGACTAACACCCAGGTACCTATTTTACTGCTAGGTAACAGGGCAGGAGGCATTGCAGCCTTCTGCATTGGCATTCTTGGGCCCAACTGTTGCACGAGGTGTTTTTACAATATTTGCAACCACTAAGAATCCAGCTGTCTTCAAGCTGGAGGTCAGATCAAGAGGTCATCTACCAGCCCATCTCACGGGATGGTTAGTTATATTGAAGAAAACATGGAACAGCCTACCCGCCGAAGCCGTAAATGCCAAAACTCTGTTAACTTTTTAGAGTACAGCTGGAAAAGATCAAGGCAAATGGGGACACCTTCGACAAGCCGCCGGCTTCCTGTCCTCGCTGAGGTCACTAGTGTTAGTGGGTCTCGGGTATAATATGGTAAACAGCGAGTCTACTAGCCTCCACTGGCACACTCTGGCTGGACCACACCAATGTCTTCCATCTTTGTTGTATTAGAGTCAGCTGCTGGCAACAACCGTTCCAAGCAGCACGGGCTATGGCGAGCCCGTAGTGGATATACATCTTCCAATATTGGTGAGTGTATGAATCGAAATTTGATGATTATGACCATAATGGGCCAAATGGTGACCCTCTCTGGAGCGAGGCAGGTCACCACCCCTGGTCGTCACCACCGAGGCTGATGACACTGACAAACTCTACACACAAGAACATTATTCCTGTAAATGTTAAGTTCACGGTATCTTTACTTTGGCTGGAGCTTTCTCGAGAGTTGTCTTCCTTAGCCCATTGTTAATCTCCGGCTGTGGAACATGTCACCCCAATCCAGGCGCCCCAAGCCAGGCGCCCCAAGCCAGGCGCCCCAAGCCAGGCGCCCCAAGCCAGGCGCCCCAAGCCAGGCGCCCCAACCCAGGCGCCCCAACCCAGGCGCCCCAACCCAGGCGCCCCAAGCCAAGCGCCCCAAGCCAGGCGCCCCAAGCCAGGCGCCCCAAGCCAGGCGCCCCAAGCCACACGACTCCGTCTTCACCACGACTCGATATAAGTTGAAGAGTAATGCTCATATTTCAGGTACGTTTATTGAGACAATAAAATACATCTCAAAGGGATAGAGCGGCTTAGGCTATTTCTTCCCTCTCCCAATGGTCATATTGACCGATAAAACTACCCCCATAATGAGTACATTTCCAACGCCATTCTTCAGAATGATCTAATGGAAGCTGTAGGAAGCATAGACCCATATAATTTTGTTGATACTGTTAAACGTTAATTGTCAGTTGAGAGAGAGAGAGGGAGAGAGAGAGAGAGACAGAGACAGAGAGGAGAGGAGGTGTCATTGATGATGCCACACAGGAAGTAGTCATCTTGGCGCCGGAGGGCACAGGAGCCCACCTCGTTACTCTGGCAATTATCTGGCGTCACGTCAGGTGACCTCGACCCAAGGTGCCCCGCACACTGCTACGACCAGGTGGCTTGAGGCGCCGGCTAAGTGTAAATAACGACGTAGAGAGATGCAGTGATAAAGGCAGTTTATATTTCACTATTTTATCCCACATTCTTAATATTTCACACCAACAAAAAACTCTGGTTAAGTTATTTTTAGCACGTCTTGGTCCAACAGCCTGGTGGACCAAACTCTCACAAGTCAAGCCTGGCCTCGGGCCGGACTTAGGGAGTAGAAGAACTCCCAGAATCCCATCAAGCAGGTATATGTGGGCCTGCGGGTCGCTCCAAGCAACAGCCCGTTGAACCAAACTCTCACAAGTCAAGTCACGCCTCAGGCCGGACTTGGGGAATAGAAGAACTTCCAGAACCTCATCAAGCAGGTAGAGTTTCAAGGCACCAAGCTGGTACCTACAATTCAAGTTCACCACAATACCCGCTTGCTCTCTGGAGCAGGTCTAAGGTTCCCCGCCTTCAGCTCCGCCAAGACAAGTTTCCTCACCGAGACATCACACTATTGTGATTTCAACTTATAGAGAGAGATTCTTGGTGTTATAAGCCCCGTAATGTGTTGTTGTGCACTTGTGAGGAGGCTGGAGCATGCTGTTGTTGTTATAGCTTCAGCTACTGGGAACAAGTTCCAAGTAGCACGGGCTATGGTGAGCCCGTAGTGGCACAGGGGCGGGGCTGTGGCTGGAGTAGAAGGATTCTGACAGTGTATAATAACAGCTCTCCCTCTCGTAGCTTATTATGCATTATAATACTTGTTTTCTCCAGACGGGAGACATCTCCCGTCACGCAAGGTGCAGTCGCACCTCCACAGATCTCCAGTATCAGCTCTTGATACTGGTAATGGCTCAAAAGGGCCACCACTTACGGGCTATTCATGCCCGTGCCACCTTTTGGGTGGCTTAATCTTCATCAATCAATCTGTTTTCTCCAGAACAAGATCCACCGATCATTTGACATCCAGGTCCATAATTACTGCTGGGACAGACAGAAGGGACAGTGCCCAATCATCCAATCCTGTTCCTGATTCTTCTGAGCCAAACATAATCAGATTATATGACAGAATGATATACAGGTGTGTGACAGCACCTGTATGACACCTCGGCGTCAGTGCTGACCAACGAGGAGGAACTATTAACAAACAAACTCGTCACGTATAGGGAATTAGACGATCAATACAACTTCGTGTCAATAGAATGAGATCCTTGCCTTCCCAACCACTTGGGCTAGACGGTAGAGCGACGGTCTCGCTTCATGCAGGTCGGCGTTCAATCCCCGACCGTCCAAGTAGCTGGACACCATTCCTTCCCCCCGTCCCATCCCAAATCCTTATCCTGACCCCTTCCCAGTGCTATATAGTGGCTTGGCTTGGTGCTTTCCCCTGATAAGTCTCCCTTCCCTAGAGACAAAGAGCAAGAAGCGTTTCCTCAAGGAGACGGGATCCAGGTTCGTAGATGCTACCGGAAATACCCGCCCCGGCAGCGACCTGTTCCAGTCTCAACGTGGCGACTCAGAGGGGGAACGCCACCTGCTTCCTCCACTCCTGGCTGTTCCATCCATATATATATACTCAGTTTTTTATTAGAACATTTGGAGCTTCTTAGAGGGGTTATTATTTGATGTACCTCCCCCTCCTCATCACGTTTATTTCCCTACCTCATCAACCTCACCCCCCCCCCCCTTTCGCTCCTCCACCCTTCAACGGGTCTTCATGGGGGGCCGTATAACGGGGTCTGGTTGTTCGTAGCGTCCACATTGTCGGGGTCGTGGGAGAGTCACGGACTCTGGTCAGGAAATCATTGACTCCTGAGGGAGGGAGGCGGGGGGGGGGGGAGAAGGGGGGGGAGGGAGTGTTTGAGAGCCGGGAGGGAGGAGGGAGGATGACCAGGTGTAGTTTTGTTCTAAATTCAGCTACTTAGAATAAAAGTTCCAAAGTAGCACGGGCTATGGTGATCCCGTAGTGGACTTACCTGGCACAGGAGCGGGGCTGTAACTGGTGTAACTGGTATGTAGGTGTAGTGTGGGGGATGTAATGGAAGGTAGGAGAAGGGAGGGAATAGAGATAATTAAGGCAAGTGAAGGTTGTGGTGTGGAGGGCGTGACTTAGTGTGACCTCCGTGACCTTTGACCCCTCCAGGTCACCTCACATTAACTCCAATCTTTCTCTCTGTTATTTGATGTATTTTTTGTGGTTGTGAAAGCTCAGAAAATACTTTTAAATCTTGTATTATTGTCATTATTCTCTTTGCTGTTGCTTTCCCCTATATTTGTCTGCGTATGTCTGTCTCTCCTCTCTCGCTTCGTACTCTCCTAGTACAGCTTATACGGTTCAGAATCAGTTCCTGGGCCCCGCCTTTATCTGCCCGTCCTTAGGCTGGGCTCGTTCAGGCGGCTTTGTTTCACTATAAAAATTTAAATATATTTACAGAACAAAACCTAACTTGTAACGTAGACGGTAGAGCGACGGTCTCGCTTCATGCAGGTCGGCGTTCAATCCCCGACCGTCCAAGTGGTGGGCCACCATTCCTTCCCCACCGTCCCATCCCAAATCCTTATCCTGACCCCATCCCTGTGCTATATAGTCGTAATGACTTGGCGCTTTTCCCCGGATAATTCCCTCCCTCTCTCCCTCTTCCCTTCTGCCTTCCCATTTTCCCTGGTTTTAAAGAAAATGCGAACTGGGTAAATGTTTAACTATCACTCAAATCACCAGAGGCCAGACTCACGAAGTAGTTACGCAACCACTTACGAACCTGTACATCTTTTCTCAATCTTTGGCGGCTTTAGTTACATTTATTAAACAGTTAATGAGCTCCGAAGCACCAGGAGGCTGTTTATAACAATAACAACAGTTGAATGGGAAGTTTTCATGCTTGTAAACTGTTTAATAAATGTAACCAAAGCCGTCAAAGATTAAGGAAACATGTACACGTTCGTAAGTGCTTGCGTAACTGCTTCGTGAATCTGGCCTCATACGACTGGTGATTCAGTGTTCCTGGTAGTGTGGAAGACTTTAGGTTATTTGCATTATTCTCGCTCGAGTTTACATGGGTAATGCGGTTCCCCACGCGGCAGTTTACCTTCGTGGCGTGCAATGTGGGTTACCTTCCAACCTTGCATTACCTTGCGTTAATTCTTGGGGGTCAAGAATCACTGACCTTGGAGGCCCGGTCTCTGACCAGGCCTCCTGTCGCCCTCTCCCTCCCTCCTTCCCTCCCTCCCTCCTACTCTCCCTCCCTCCTATGCTGAGTATGCCCTAAAAGCATGTTGGGCATATCCTGAGCATATTTTCGGCATGTAAGCATATGTTGCGCGTTTGCAATGATATTTTGAGTGTATATACTAAACGTATATTGGGACGACCCAAGGCCATGTTGGTCGTATCCTGAGCATATGTTGGACGTGTTATAAACGTGTTGTGTTGACATGTGTGTGTTTGTCTTTGACAGAACCATGAAGTCAAGAAGACCCAGACGACCTGACCTGGCTCCGCTCCTGCTGGTGACCTCACTCCTGCTTGAAGGTCAGTACACTGCTGGTGACCTCACTCCTGCTTGAAGGTCAGTACACTGCTAGTGACCTCTCGTCCCTTCACACGAGTCCCGTGGGGTGTATTGGCCGTGTCCAGCGTGTGATAAACTACCCTCAAGTCATTATACAGCAGACTGGCCCTGAATCATTGTACAGCAGCAGCATCTGGTTCTAGGGGTTGTCAAGCTCCTTGACCCAGTCCTTGACAGGTTGGCAGGTCACTCACGGGTCCTAATTCATAGGGAACTGGTGAAAGATCTTGTAATATTGCTGTATAGCAAAGTGTGGTCCTCGACCAGGTGGAGGCTTGGTCGAGGACCGGGCCGCGGGGACGCTAAGCCCCGAAATCATCTCAAGATAACCTCAAGATATCATCCTGGTGTTGGATCACTATCACCTTCCTGTGGGAGTCTCCCAGCTTAGTGGGAGACTGAGGGAGGTTATCTTGAGATGATTTCGGGGCTTAGTGTCCCAGTGGCCCGGTCCTCGACTAGCCCTCCACCCCCAGGAAGCAGCCTGTAGCAACTGTCTAACTCCCAGGTACCTATTTACTGCTAGGTAACATGGGCATCAGGGTGAAAGAAACATTTTGCCCATTTGTCTCCGCCTCCACCGGGGATCGAACCCGGAACCTCAGGACTACGAATCCGAAGCGCTGTCCACTCAGCTGACAGGCATACATCTTGTACAAACTTAAAAAAAAGAAGACAAGTAATTTTGTTAATTTTGTCGTTAATATCAACCAATAAATTATTGTTCGTTTGAGATGAAACTGTTTCGTTTAAGAAGCCAGAGATCAGGATTCAGGAAAAGAATTTAAGTGTCCCTATACGAAAGTAGTACAATCAATACACACAGAAATCACAATAGCGTGATGCATCAAATGAACAAATCCACAAGGGCCGTGACGAGGATTCGAACCTGCGTCCGAGAGCATCCCAGACGCTGCTCTGTTGACAACTTGCAGTATTTCTCTGGGATCTGTGTTGCGTCCTTCACTTCAGTGTTGAGAGGCGAGGGACTAATAGGTAATAACGTGTTGCATACCTCATATGTGCAGGAACACTCACTGCACTACAGGCCAGATTCATGAAGCAGTTACGCAAGCACTTACGAACCTGTACATCTTTCCTCAATCTTTGACGGCTTTGGTTACATTTATTAAACAGTTTACAAGCATGAAAACTTGCCAATCAACTGTTGTTATTGTTATAAACAGCCTCCTGGTGCTTCGGAGCTCATTAACTGTTTAATAATTGTAAACAAAGCGGCCAAAAATTGAGAAATGTACAGGTTCGTAAGTGCTTGCGTAACTACTTCGTGAATCTGGCCTCGGGAGAGTTTAACGTCCTGTCTAAGGGTCCTGTATACTACACCATTAACGGAAGAGTATACTCACCTACGGTTAGGTTTAAATATTTGCTTCCTTCACGCGCCCTGAATTTCCAAGTGTACGGTCACGGTTGGGCACGAAGAAGATTGAAGATTACTTAAAAAGTTTATACTAGCAGAATAGATCACTCCGTCTGTTGGTAATACTGAGGGGGTTAAACAGGAGTGTTTTGTGGCGTGTTAACAGCTAGAGACGTCTCTAGCTTACGTTACGTTATCTTGAGGTTATCTTGAGATGATTTCGAGGCTTTAGTGTCCCCGCGGCCCGGTTCTCGACAAAGCCTCCACCCCCAGGAAGCAGCCCGTGACAGCTGACTAACACCCAAGTACCTATTTTACTGCTAGGTAACAGGGGCATAGGGTGAAAGAAACTCTGCCCAATGTTTCTCGCCGGCGCCTGGGATCGAACCCGGGACTACAGGATCACAAGTCCAGCGTGCTGTCCCCTCGGCCGACCGGCTCCCAACGTTACGTTACGTTAAGTTAGACTGAAGACACGGGAGGAGTTCTCAGCATGTCTGAGAACCCCGTCCACACCTGTACGGCTAACAGGTCTGGAGGCTGATGCAGCTTAAATACCTTATACACATGTGCTTGTACACACACACACACACACATGGATATGTGGGGTCAGGGGCCAGGAACAACACCAGGAGCAGCAAGAGTAGCGGCGGCGGGTGCGGCCCTCCTGGTGCCTGGCCGCCCTATAACTCTGACCTACATTATATACCTCTCTAACCACAGTATTCCTCTTAACAACTAGCTAAGATCCTCACCACCCCTTCCACCCCCTCCTTCCCCATTCTTCCCCCCTCCTTCCTTCTCTCCCCCCCCCCCTCCTTCCTTCTCCCTCTCTCTCGCTAGTATCGGAAACTAAAGAATTCAGGCGGATATTGAACCCAGCGGAGTATCTAAATCCCTTAAGTGCTTATATGTAGCGTGTGTGTAATGCTAGTCTGGGGACCAGTACTGTTGGAGGGAACCAGTCTGGGGACCAGTACTGTTGGAGTGAACCAGTCTGGGGACCAGTACTGTTGGAGTGAACCAGTCTGGGGACCAGTACTGTTGGAGTGAACCAGTCTGGGGACCAGTACTGTTGGAGGGAACCAGTCTGGGGACCAGTACTGTTGGAGTGAACCAGTCTGGGGACCAGTACTGTTGGAGTGAACCAGTCTGGCGACCAGTACTGTTGGAGTGAACCAGTCTGGCGACCAGTACTGTTGGAGTGAACCAGTCTGGGGACCAGTACTGTTGGAGTGAACCAGTCTGGGGACCAGTACTGTTGGAGTGAACCAGTCTGGGGACCAGTACTGTTGGAGGAACCAGTCTGGCGACCAGTACTGTTGGAGGAACCAGTCTGGCGACCAGTACTGTTGGAGGAACCAGTCTGGCGACCAGTACTGTTGGAGTGAACCAGTCTGGGGACCAGTACTGTTGGAGTGAACCAGTCTGGGGACCAGTACTGTTGGAGGGAACCAGTCTGGGGACCAGTACTGTTGGAGTGAACCAGTCTGGGGACCAGTACTGTTGGAGTGAACCAGTCTGGCGACCAGTACTGTTGGAGTGAACCAGTCTGGCGACCAGTACTGTTGGAGTGAACCAGTCTGGGGACCAGTACTGTTGGAGTGAACCAGTCTGGGGACCAGTACTGTTGGAGTGAACCAGTCTGGGGACCAGTACTGTTGGAGGAACCAGTCTGGCGACCAGTACTGTTGGAGGAACCAGTCTGGCGACCAGTACTGTTGGAGGAACCAGTCTGGCGACCAGTACTGTTGGAGGAACCACTCTGGCGACCAGTACTGTTGGAGTGAACCAGTCTGGGGACCAGTACTGTTGGAGGAACCAGTCTGGGGACTAGTACTGTTGGAGTGAACCAGTCTGGGGACCAGTACTGTTGGAGGAACCAGTCTGGCGACCAGTACTGTTGGAGTGAACCAGTCTGGGGACCAGTACTGTTGGAGGAACCAGTCTGGCGACCAGTACTGTTGGAGTGAACCAGTCTGGGGACCAGTACTGTTGGAGGAACCAGTCTGGCGACCAGTACTGTTGGAGTGAACCAGTCTGGGGACCAGTACTGTTGGAGGAACCAGTCTGGGGACCAGTACTGTTGGAGGAACCAGTCTGGGGACCAGTACTGTTGGAGGAACCAGTCTGGGGACCAGTACTGTTGGAGGAACCAGTCTGGGGACCAGTACTGTTGGAGGAACCAGTCTGGGGACCAGTACTGTTGGAGGAACCAGTGTGGCGTGTGGCGGAGAGCGACGCTAAGTAGCACTGGTCATGAGCAGCGCACACATTCCTGTATTAAGGTCAACGTTACTTCCTCTATCGTCTCAACCATTCCCACCACCACTACCACCACCACCACCACTACCACCACCACACTCATCATTTCCACCACCACAATCATCATTTCCACCACCACAATCATCATTTCCACCACCACAATTGCTACCATCAGTACTGCTGGAGGTAGCAATTGTTGAGCTTATCTTCATTAAACACCATATTATTTTCTGTAGCCCATTGAGAGACCTGATTTACATCTGATTGGAAGTTTGCCGTGTCCGCTATGTTGTCTACTCTCATGAAGATCCTAGTGTCATCTGCAAAGGATGATACAGTGCTATAGTTTGTGTCCTTGTCTATGTCCGAAACGAGGATGAGAAAAAGTACTGGAGCAAGCACAGTACCCTGGGGGACTGAGCTCTTCACGGTTGATGAGCTGGATTTTATTTTGTTGACTATTACACATTGGGTTCTGTTAGTCAGGAAATTGTAGATCCATCTGCCTATTTTTCCGGTAATTCCTTTTCAACGCATTTTATGTGCAATAACACCATGGTCACATTTGTCAAAGTCTTTTGCGAAATCTGTGTAAATTACATCAGCGTTTTGTTTGTCTTCCATAGCATCTAATGCCATGTCATAGTGGTCGAGCAACTGCGACAGGCAAGAGCGCCCTGTTCTGAACCCATGTTGTCCGGGGTTATGGAGATGCTGGGATTCCATGTATTTTGTGATCTGACTTATTAGCACTCAAAGATTTTTATGATGTGTGATGTTAGTGCTATCGCTCTGTATTATTTTGCCTCTGCTCTGATACCTGCTTGATGGGGTTCTGGGAGTTCTTGTACTGCTTCAGGTGGTACAAGCTAAGTAAGTACAAGCTAGTAAGGTAGTACCTTACGTTGAGGTACTTCCGGGGCTTAGCGTCCCCGCGGCCCGGTCATCGACCAGGCCTCCCCGGATGGGTTTCAGGTAGGCCTGAAAGCCAACACCGAAGCTGTGAACCGGGAACCAGAAGCGCCAGGAACCCGGTAGGTGGCGAGGGCAGGATGAGGAACAGGTTGTGAGGACAACCCCGGTAATCCGGTACACACACTCACACACCTGGGAATATACACTCACAACTTACACTCCTACTTCGCAGTCCTCCTTTCTTGCTTCTCATTGTTACCCGACTGTGAACTGTTACTGGTTTGTACGACTTACAGGAACTCTCATGGGTGTACTCTCATGGGTGTACTCTCATGGGTGTACTCATGAATCTTGGTGTACTCTCGTGGCTGTAGTTAGGGTTCGAATGCACTTAATCAC